TCCTCCCTTACGCCATTATAGCCCTATCCCTATTGTCTCACTCCCTGATAGCCTTTTTTGACTTTTAATTCAGCACAGACACACACTGAACAATATATATATAGGTTATTAGTATTCCTATTACTGATGTAACTATCAAATAAGATGGTTGTGCATGTTTATTATATCTACGGCAGGTCTCAACACATTATTATATGTTTACAAACACTGATATTGATCGTTCTTCGAATTTATAATTTGATTAATTCACGCTTTGTATGTTGATCATATGATAATTGTGGCAAATCTATGTATGACTACTCATCATTTTTGACATCTCGAATGTCAATTTTTATCTGAAAAAGTTCTTTCGTGAGTTAAAATAAAGAAAGCATTCAAATCTTGTTATTAAGACTCTTTTTTCGGTACTAAGGAGCTTTGAAAAAAAGATTCCTATAGGCCTCGGTTGTTAGAGTCTAGACATCGACGGAGCAGTAAAAACTTCGATTTAAAATTATACTCACTACACTCTTCTAAAATATATGTGAGTTCAATACACAAGCTTAAACTGACGGTAAAATTTACATATAAAACAATGAATAACTTATCATGAAAGCATTCATTTGTGATAAATCAAAACTTATCTAATGCACTTTTTCTAACGCATTATACTCTTCAAAAAAAACAAAATGACTCAGTACATGTAAATTTCTTCTTATATTCTCAAATTCTGTGAGTAAAAAGAAAAACACATTTGTTTTATAATTTTAAATACCTCTTCACGAAGAACAAGTGCAAGAATAGTTGAATCTTTATTCCATGCTATATGTTCAACATATTTTTTAATATTTTCTCCTGTTTCTAAAACTAATTCACCATGTTTAAGACCATTTTTTTCTAAAAAACTTATTGTTAATTTTTGTCCATTATTAAATCTCATTGCAACACCAATTAATTCTCCACTAATTTTCCATGATATAGCTGATTCAATATAACCATTTAATGATATTTCATTTGTTGTTTGTAATTGTCCTTGTTTATTAAAAATTTTTATTGTACGCCATTGATTTATTAATGAAATAAATGATATAGCAAATAAATCACCATCATCACGCCAAACAATATGACTACGATTATCATCATTATTAGATTTTAATTTTATTGGTATATTATTAATTGTTTCAAGAGCTGCTTTTTTACCAATTGAACCATGAAATTGTGTTGTTTTAGAACCCCAACCAACATTAACTAATTGTTGTTCACCAAAATCATTTGTATCAAGTAATGTTTCAGCAATAGGTTCATAATCATTATATGTTGAAAGTAATAATACTTTTGTATTTGTTACAGCAATAAGTATTTGTTGATCTGGACTTAATTTTAATTCATGTATACATTCTTCTAATGTACCAATAATATTAATATTTTCATTATAATCATTATCAATTTGTAATGTTATTAAATCACCATTTGATAAACCTAAACATAAATGATTTAATTCAGATAGATAACATAAATCTTCTAATGTTATTGTTTGATCAGTTGATGAATAAATTATTTTAATATTTTCATTTTCTAATGTTAATGAATATATGGAATGAGGTGTTAAGAGATAGATCAATTGTCTATCTGTATCAATAGCAAAATGTCGAACGACATTAACACCAGTTAAATCAGATAATGATATTGTTCGTGTATTGTATAAACAAAGATTTTGCATGTTTTTTTTTGTTTAAAAATATCAATAATTCAAAATTGAAAACTTGAATTTAGAGTTTCAACATACATGGCATATATATATGTATGACTCATCATCTTACTTTACATGATGCAAGAACCAATAATTTCTGTTTATGAATTACGAAAATATCACAAAGATATGATGCAAATAAATGATTATAAAGTATATTTTTGATATTTCTATTGATTATTAATAAGATAAAGTTTGCATGTAGATTTATGAATGCTTTGAATAAGATTAAGTGGTAGTGACATCTGTAAAGACTAATATTCGTACTGTTGCTGTCGCTATGCTAGAAGATAGCTGACAGTTTAAGTGTCAAAATATCTCCGGTAAAGCGCACATTACACCAAACGGTAGAGAGCAGCAGGTCTAGGCAGCACCGATAAAAGTGAAAGAGGTGTATAACCTCGCTCTTCGGTAATAATAAAAAACTGTTTGTTATTAGCTAGCAAAATAGGGTAACCCAGGTCGAGAAGTACAGGTAGGTTCCGGCCGGAATACTTCCACCCTGTTCCGGCGACTGCAGATTTTTCCTGCGGGATTCTGTGACCGGAATCTTCGATCTGGCAATATATTTTTGAAATATTATATCGGATGTCTAGAAATATTTGCATATATCTCTCTACAAGCAAAATATAAAATCTTTATTTATTTCCAAAAGATGCATCATTGAATTTTTTAGAATAACTATAAGAAATTTTCTTTCGAATTGTTCTTGAAAGATTGAAAATAGAGAAATATGAAACATCGCTATTTCTGATTTTCTCGATAGCAACAAGAAAATATTTGTAATAAGATGAATAAAAGATCTTTTTAAGTTTTTCTAATAGATTTCGAGAAAACTAAAAAAAAATAAAACTATACGAGATGCTAAAACTTTTCACTCCGTATAAATTCAATTCTTACAATGAACGGATTTGTGCGGTAAGCTAATAAGAGTAGATATATTCGGATCAGATTAAAGCTATTACTTCCAAACTAACAAATAAAAAATATAGGCTGCCATTGATGTGTTTAAACCGAGATATTCAATTTTTTAAGATATTTACTATATATATAATGTACTTAAAAAATCAAAATTTTAACGAAATTTTTTTTCTGTTCTCATCATAGTTGTATAGAGTTCGGCAAGTTGCATAAGAAAAAATATGTTTCAAATTTTTTGAAGATTTTGTAAGATAATCGAAGTTTAGAGTCTCTTTTCCCAGTCAAATTCTTGAAATCTTATTCTACATCAAACTTTTTTCATTTCACCCTGAAGTTTCGAACTTACTGAAGAAACCTATATATATACGTTTCTTTGATAATAAGTAACTAAATAACTCTAAATAATGGCATATGTCTCAATTTACAGAATGATGAAAACGAAAAGCTAGATGTTTTTATAGTTGTTAAGGCAATTGAAGTTTACTCGCTACCACTCATTAGTCAACATGCAAAGGAGTAGCTTTCGCTTTTTTACAATCTTCTAAGAACATTTCATAATAGAACGTAAGTAATAAAATTTAAAAACTCACTCACTGTAAAACATTCACTTGCAAAACAGTAATACATTTCTATGATTAACTATTAACTGTAGAGATAGCAAAAAAGCTTACAAAATGGCATTAAATAAGTGTCATGGCGATATCAATCTCCTACTTATGGGCAAAATATGAAATCCTTCCAAAGGTTTTCTCATTAAAAAACAATTAAAGATATAAAACAATATATACTGATTTTTATTAACATACATAGGTGTACAATAAAAAACTGTAGAATCACATCAATCGAATGAATATAAAGATCCATCAACATTTATCAAAATATTAAAAAAGTTTTTTTGTTTTTCCTAGATGTCTTCATATCTTTAGATTGATAGGAAAAATATTTAGATACAAAATTTGAATATGAGAATATATTTCATGAAAATCAATTTCATTTTCTTTTTGCCATTTACTCATAATGAACACGTCCACTTGATCATTTTATGTTTTGAATATTGCATCAAATATCGTTAAGAAATAATTAAATGTTTAGATGATTATCTGTTACTCAAACAATTGTATGTAAATGCAACTATTTTCATACGCCAACAATGAAAAAGATCAAATTGTTGTCTCTATTGTTCAACATGGTTTATCTGTTATGTAGAAGTATTTAGCCATATGTTAAACTTGTTATCTAAATCACAGTTCGTTTGATTCACTAGCGATTATCAATGTGAAACATATCAAATGATATGCTACATGTCCAGTAACATTCCAGTGCAAGCTTTTCTTGAAATTTTCTCTTCTAAAATTATATTTTATCAAATGTCATCATTTGTATTATGTTTACTTTTGTTCGTCTTTTTCTATAGATGCTAATGCAGGCTTTGGTTTTTGACTGTTCTTTAGATCATTCCGACAGATAAACGTGTTATTAGGCAACGGTTCATTTGAGACTCTTAAGATCTCAGGATTAAATATGGAAAATAAATAATAATAACAACAATATGCAAAAAATAAAAGTATAATAACGATCGAGTGTTATGTCCTTGAACAAATATATGTTCTCGTCGATCGATGAAAAACTATGTCAATCCATCTTTCATTTATTTTTGAACATACAAAGAACGAATATTGGAAAAAGAATTCATTTTCAAAGTGTCAGTATGAGGTGTAGGAGAATATTGCTATCGCATATTTATTTTACTTAATTGAATCAACAACTCTAGCCAATATCTATTTAGTTTTTTATTCAACGAAAACAAAAATTGATATGAAATCTAGAAATACAAAAATCTATATGTAAACGAATAATGATTAAGAAAATATCACTAAATGATATTTCTTTTGACTATTAGTCTATGTGAATAAAATAGAAAGATTCATTTTATGAGTAAGCATTAATTAATCTTATAGAGATACTTAGCTACATAGAAATTTGAACGATAGCTGCGAACAAAAAAAACAATTTACGATTATAAATAAAGAGAATAATTTCCATAGAATCATGCTCAAATCAAAACAATTTCGAATGGTTTAAAACACATTTCTGAAAACCGAATATACTATGCATTTGTGTTGCTTTCTTTGAAAAGATTCTATCATGATATTTTGGTTTATTTAAGAAATATATATAAGAAAGTGTTATAAATGAAATAAATACGCGTTTACACTTAGTACGTATACAAATCATTCTTTTTTTCTAAGTAAAAAACAAAAGGAAAAAGAAAAGAAAAATGAATTAGTCTTAATTGTTAAATATTTTCCTATAGGAAAACATTTGAGTCATTTTAATAATCAATAGTCGATTACCATTGATTAGGTAACATCATTCCTTCATGATATTCCATATAATTATAGTGAATTCCATGTTGCATTGGATATATATTTGATGCATTTTGTTCTATCATACTCATTGATTGTTGACTATTACGACGAGCATAATTACCTTGTAATTGATTATTATTCATTATGGCTGGATGTTGTGGTGTTTGCATTTGAATCATTTGCATATAATTATTTC